TGATGAAGGGCTCTGGATTACAGGGCTCAAGTGAGCACTCAGACCCAAGGTGACAGGAGAGAAAAAGCAGGCATGCACCTGGGTGTTTCAAAAGGCCTGACAGGACAGAAGACACTTACTGCTTTTCCTGATGGTTACACCTGCCAGCATGGCTTAATGACAGAAACACCACGTTGACCATTGGCAGGGCCTCTGCAGAGAGCAAGGAGGACCTCAATCCTTCCTCTCAGCATAGTCAGAGGTGTGGGTTACTTAGTATCCTCCAGAACAATCATGATAAATGGTGAAAAAAAATCAAAGTTGTCAACAATTTCATTCTACTTGGATCAACAATCAATGTCCATGGAAGCTGTTGATAAGACTGTTTCTTGGTCCAGTGGATTTCTGTAGCACAATACCACAAAATGGGTGGCTTATAAAAGTAGAAATGTATTCTTTCACAGTTATGGAGGCCAGAGGCAAAGATCAAGATAAAGGTTATGCTGATGACTACATAGGATAAACACAGGACTGCTAACCTCAAGTTGGGCAGTTCAAACCCACCAGCCACTCCACTGAAGAAAGACGAATCTCTCTGCTTCCATAAAGATTTACAGCCTTGGAAACCATATATAGGATTGCTATGAATTGGAATCAACTCAATGGTAGGTTTTTAACTTTTGGATTTTTTTTTTTTTTTTTTTTTTCATGCCTTCTGAAGGTTCTGAGAGAGAATCTGTTCCTTACCTCTCTAGTCACAGTTTCTGGTGGTGACCAGCAATTCTTGCCATTTCTCTGTTTGCATCTGCCTCTGTTGTCACATGGTCATCCTTCTGTCTAATCTTCCACATCTTTTATCTAAGGCACCACTTGGATGAAACCAGGACTAATCCTACTCCACTAGGACCTCAGGTTAACTGATAACATATTGAAAGATCGTATTTCCAAACCTGGTCACATTCACAGGTATAAGCGTATCTTTCTGGAGGACACAATTCAACCCATAACATATGGTTTCCCTAAGATCTCCTTAGAGTCATTATGGTAATTCAGGGACATGATCAAGAAACACCCACAGGTTTGTAAGTTTAAGTATGCCAAGAGGCACCTCAGAAGACAGGCTTAGTGATCTACTTTGAAAAATCAGCCACTGAAAACCCTATAGAACACAGTCGTACCCTGACACACATGGGGTTTCCATGAATTGGAGTCAACTCTACATTACCTGATTTTGTTTTGATTTTTACCACTTAGAAGTGGGGTTAGTTAGACTGTCAAATCAGCACTGGAGTGCGAACCACAGGGTCGGTGGTTCAAACTCACCAGCTGCTTCTCAAAACCAACCATATGACACTTAATAACAACAGTGGGGCTACTTGTTTGTCTGTGTACCAACTATCTGTTTCTGCCTGTTCCGAGTGCCATCCTTGTCTTCCCAACAGGGGGGCCTCGAGGCCAGGGGACTGGGTGTTAGGTGTGTTCTGGATCCTTGAGGACTATGTACTCAGTATTCACTAGATTCCAGATTCCAAAATGAGTCAGGCCTGGCCCTTCCCCTCTAGAATCACAAACTTTCTGGACAGGTACAAGGATCAGAGCAGATGCCTTTATAGTCTCAGTAAAGAGGGAAAAGCAACAGCCTGGAGAAGAGGGCAGGCTTCTTTGGGCGTGAGCAAGACTGTGTGAGATACTGAGGCAGGAGAGTGCTCCAGGCACCATGGGCAACAGTGTCTTCTTGTGAAAGAAAAACTCCAGGAAGCAGCCAGAGCGTACATCAACCAGAGTGGATAGAAAAACTGGGGTAAAGCCACGTGATGGGATACTGTCTAGTGGTCAAAATGAATGAACTACAGTGACAGAAAATAATGTGGATGCGTTTTAGCAATATAAAATTAGGAGGAGAAAAGTCAGTCCCCAATGATTATAAATGACATGATACCATTTTTATCATGTTAAATATAACTCAGATTTAAAATGTATACTTTTTAGCCCTGCAAGGATGTGAGATATCGTATGAAAGGAACAATAAGGGAATGATGAGCAGGATGAACTTTGGGTGGGGAAGGTGGGGAATGGGTGCTGGAGGACCCCAGAGCTGATGGAATTACTGTCAAATCCCTGAAGTTTGTTATGGGTGATGGAGTCATGAGTGCTCAGCACATTATTATAAATACATAAAATGAAGTGAAAAACATAAATGGCCAATGATAAGAGTATGTCATCAGCCAAGGATTATGATTAATTCACTTCTATATGTGAGGTTGGCCCAGGACCGGGCAGTATTTCGTTCTGTTGTACATAGGGTCTCTATGACTTGATGGCACCTAACAACAACAACATATATTCTACATAGGGCAAGCACTGAACTGCTAACCACAAGGTCAGTGATTCAAACCACCAGCTGCTTCTTGGAACTCCTATACAGACTTATTAACAACAACAAACATTTGAGAACCAATGAAAACATGATTCCTTAATGGTGTATAGAAAAGGTATGTAAGCAAGCATTTGAATGACTCACACTAGTCACCTTTGTGACTTCTGGAATGTTGGGGGGCATTATAAGGTGGGTGGAAGGCCAACTGCTGTTTGTTATATTATTTCCTGGACTTTCCTATATGTTTGAAATATTATTTAATTTCCAACATCAGATTCGATTCATATCCTAGGTATATACCCCAAAGTATTGAAAGCAGGGACTCAAACAGATACCTAATATTCACTGTAGCACTATGCACAATAGCCAAAAGGTGATAACAACCTAAAGATCCTTCCACAAATGAATGGATAAATGAAGGTGGTATATCCATATAGTGGAATGTTACTCAGTTATCAAGAGAAATACAGGTCAGATATATGCTACAACATGGGTAAGCCTTGGAAACATTATGCGAATGAACTAAAACAGACACAAAAGAACAAGATTGCATGGTCCCACTCCTATGAAATATCTAGGCCAGACAGATGTTTAGATTGTTGTTGTTGTAAAGCGCTGTCAAGAGTTTGTTGGTGGTTGCCTGAGGGCTGAGGAAATGGGGAGTTGTTGCTTGAGGGGTGCTGAGTTTCTGTTTGGAGTGATAAGAGTCTTTGAAGATGGACAGCAATAGATGATAGTTGCACAGCATGATGAATGTAATTGTCATTGAATTGTGCATTTAAAATGGCAACTTCTTTGTCATATATATTTTATTCAAAAAAGTTTGTTTAATGTTAGATTTAATTCTTTGCAAAACAGCCCCTTGCCTGGTGGGGACAGTTTCTTTCCTGAGAGCAGTACATGTAAGAAGCGCTGAACAGCTGCTCCACTGTGCTCTGGCACCCCTGTGCCCCAGTCTCCTCAACCCCTCTTTTTTTTTTTTTTAACTTTGTGTATGTGTGTGTGGCAACTCATATATGTAACAAATTGTTTGCCATTTCAACTTTATTCATGTGTACAATTTAGTCACATTAATTATATTTATCATGTTGCTCGACCATCACCATTGTTTGTATCTAAATTTTCCCATCACCTTTATTACCTCAGTGTCCCCTAAGCAGTGAGTTCCCCTCTTCTCACCCCTCCTGCCCACTCTGGTAACCTTTGCTCTCTGTGCACTGGACTACTCTGGATATTTCACATAAAAGGAATCATATAATATTTGTTCTTTTGTGCCTGACTTATTTCACTCAGCACAGCGTTTTCAAGGTTCAACCATGTTTAGCATGTGTCAGGGCCTCATTTGTCTTTAAGTCTGAGTGATATTCCATTGTATATGTTTACCACATTTTGTTTATCCATTCAACTGTTGATGGACACTTGGATGGTTTTCATCTTTGGGCCATTGTGAGTAGAGCAGCAGTGAACACTGGTGGACAAGCATTTGTTTGCCAACCCCATAGTAAAGGAAGGTAGGACTTACAGGAGAAAAGATACTCACATAGTCAGTCACTTCAACCCCAGGCTGACCATGGTCTGACCACAGGTGTCCTGCACACAGCTCCCTGATTCATAGTCCAGCCCCAGGCCTAGTCAGGGTCTCAGGTGAGAGAACTTTAAGCACAAAACCCCTCAGAGACTGAATTTTCTCAGAAGCACATGAGATCCACCTTTGCAGAATTCCTAGAAACAATCCCAGCCTTAAGATAATAATTACCCATGAATTCAGTTTCTGGACCAGTGGAGTAGATTGGGAAATGGAGAGAGAACAGTGAAGACAAAGTCACTGCATTCAGTTACCATGTTTTCTGAAGCATAAGAACAGGCTAGTTGTCCAGACTGTTGGTAGATATGAGAAATTCTATGATTTTCCACTGAAAGGATAACTCTAACCCTGAAAATATCCGGGCTGAAATGACACCTAGATTCTCAATTATGGTCTGTACAAAGCTCCTATGTAGACATCCAGAAGCCCTGTTTTCTGCTCTAGAAAAGTCAATTTGATATGAATTTGGATTTGAGTTGCATGGATGAGAAATAAACAAACCCTGGTTTTATTCCCAGCCATCCAGGTCCATACCAGCAAAACTGAAGACAGACATGATTATTGGAGTAATTCAGACAGTATTTACAGCTCCCACTCTCTACATCTACCAAAAGAAATGAAAACAAAGCAAAACAACAAAAAAGCTATAATCATCAGATTTTTTATCCCCACATCTGAAATAGTAGTAGATGCATAATGTTAATATAGTGTGAATGGTGCCTCCCAGAGATTCATGCCTCAGTTTCTCCACCTTTAAAATGGGACAGCTGCTACTTCTCTACCATTTAAGCCTTTATAATAAGTTATTTCTAACAGTTTTTTAGTTTGTAGACAAATACCATGGTCCTCATTATTCTGCTGAAATCACTGACTCGTGAGCTAGCCAGGGAAGACTAAGAGGAAAGACCTCAGGACAATCCATAAGATACAACAGTCTCAAACACAACACAAGCCTTTAAACATAGCAATGTTTGTGCCAAAGGCAGTAGTAAATACACAGCAAAGTGAAGGGCTAGGCCAGTGGACATGGGACCCAGTAAGGAGTGAACCTCCACGTACCTGGGGGGCAGATGCACTCAGCTGGAGCTTCTCGAACTGTCCGCAGCTTGGCTAGTCCATCCAATTTCTGAACAAGGGGGAAAAATATGAGAGTGAGTTTCAGAAAAGAAAAAGATTGTTGTTGCTATTAGTTGCCATTGAGTCAGCTCATGGTAACATTAGTCATCACAGTGTAATATAAATATATAATACAGCAGAATATATAATGTATAACATTCCTGGTGTGGTGCTGTAGGAATAAGTACTGGGCTGCTAACTATAGGTTGATAGTTCAAACCCACCAGCCACTCCTTGCAAATCCTATACAGGTTCATTATGAGTCAGAACCGACTCCTAGTGTGGCATTGCAAGATAAACACTGGACTGAGAGCCACAAGTACGATAGTTCAAACACACCAGCAGGTCCTTGGAAACCTTATACAGGGACACTATGAGTTGGAACCAACTTGACAGCACTTAACCATCACCACCACCACCACCAACAATAACAGCGGCACATAATATACAACATATATTGTTGTTGCTGTTGTTAAGTGCTATTGAGTCGGTTCCAACCCATGGTAACCCTGTATAAGGCTTCCTAAGAGTGGCTGGTGAATTTGAACCACCTATCTTACGGTTCAAACCAACTTTGCAGTCCAGCGAATTAACCCACAGTGCCATACCATATAACACATATAACATTTACATATGCTATATAAAAAATACATATAAAATAATTATATAATGCATGATAGGACTTCAGAAAGTTTGTGGCAAAATTCCATTACCTTTTCATTCCATTTTTCCAGAAACTTTTTGAAGCCCCTCAAAAAACATGCAACATAACCAATATTATAACCTTATTTATAACCTTATATAATAGAACAAATTGTTGTCCAGTCCTGCGCCTCCTTAAAAATCTATGATATGTTTGATATCTTTGTAACCCTTTTCTTTACCCTGGGTAGTACAATGGTTAAGTGCTTGGCTGCTAACAGAAACGTTGGCGGTTTGAACCCATTCAGTGGCTCTGTGGGAGAAAGACCTGGCTACCGGTTCCCATAAGGATTATAGGAAACCTTGTGGGACAGTTCTGTGTCACATGAGGTCAGTATAAGTCTGAATGACTTGAAGGCAATAAGTGTCTACTTTACCAAACCTGATGTTCCTTTCTAGAACGCGGTAAAAGTGAAAAAAATCATCAAAACCAATGAAGGATTTGCAGTGACGGTGTTGTTTTTACAACTTTTTTTATTCTGAGTTCATTCAATTCAATAGGTGATTTTAGAATGAAAGGAGAAACAAAAATAAAAATTAAACAATCAATGGTTGAAAGTGGGGTATGTCTGCTTTGTTAAAACATTTTCAGATACAACACCCAGAGTCAAAAACAACAGAAATAGCATCCTACAAACCAAGGAAAGCCAATGCAGCCGTGGAGTGAGTATGAAGAGGGGAAAGAGCAAAGCGAGTCTGAGTATGGCAAATCTAAACTGGCCTTTGGGCTGCTTTCAGTACTGACAAGGTGACCCCTACCATCGCACCACTGCCACCACCACACACAGGCCCCCAGGAAGCCCCACCCAACCCACCATTCTCTGACCTAACAGTAATGACTGAACTTACTTAAGTAATACATTTCCCATCCTTCTCACCTCTGAGATCTTTGACCTAGAAATTTCATTGAGTACAACCTAACTAGAATCTCTACTCATGCCTAGACCTGTGTTGAATTTGGGTGAAGGGGAAGGAACTGACAGAGAAAGAATAGTCAGAAGTCAGCTTTGCATGGTGACAGCCCCCAGGGACAGCTCCTGCTTGATCACAGCCACTTGAGAAACTCAAAGGACTATACCTCAGTCACAGATAAGGGGACATAGCTTGCCAAAAAGAAGTAATTAGTCCCAAATCCTAAATCTAGGTTTAGGGGAGGGAAGTCATTGGCCTATAATCCCAAATCTAGCCAACACCTGAATCCTAACAAGGACACACAAATAATTTATCTTTCTCTAGGAGAAAACAAAAAAATACTGCTCAAAGCAAAGCAAAGCAGGGATGTGCAAATTCAGTGAACAGTGGTAGCAGCATGGGTACTTCAGGTTCAAATATACAAATGGAATTTTTAAGCATTGTTTTAGAGGAGGTGAGAAGGGCACTTACCTCCCTCACCTCCTGCCCCCAAACCTGAAACTCAGGGGTCTTGAGTCCTAGACCTACCAAGTCTGAAATTTTCAAACCACCCTCAGACAAGAGTTCTTCAACCCCACCCCTGCCCCCTACCTCCATGACAGCCCAGTCAGCATCCAGTGGAAACAGTCCAGGACCAAAGGCCACACCCAACATTGTCCTTCCTCCAACCCTGCCATCAGTTTACAAATGGGCAACCCTAGCAGAGGAGCTGATACTTGCTGTAAAGCATGAAATCTGAAGACTTTTTGCCTGTGAACAACTACAACCTTTTGTTTTGTAAGTGCCGTTGAGTCAGTTCTGAACCTCAGCTACCCTACATAGGGTTTCCAAGGAGCGGCTGGTGAGCTTGAACCGCCGACCTTGCAGTTCAAAACGACTTTGCAGTCCAGTGCATTAGCCCAGGAGTGCTTAATTCCATCTTGTGCCTAGAGTTAAGAGTTCAGATACCAATTTTTCTTGAGTACCTCATGCACCTCTGGCAGCTGAACTGCCTGAGTTAGAAATGAGAGCATATTTTAAAGTGGCCTTTGCACCACTTCCCTTGCAGGAATATCCCTGGACATATCTTTAATGGTTGCCTAGTTGAGAAGTCATAGCGTGAGACTGAACTTTTCCTATTTGCAATAGTCCCCTTCCTTCTTTCCGTAAGTCCAGCGTATGTGACACATGGCTGCTGCCACCAGTCATGGCTGTGGGAGGAAATTGCTTTGTTACTTGTGGAGACAAAACTTTGGAAACTCATCATGGCGTCTCTGATTTCCCTCACTCTGGTGAAGTTTGTTTTTGTTTTGGGTTTACTTTTGTTTAGGACTCAATAGAGCGCCTGCATAATATCTGTATCTTTGAAGATGGGGTCTCTTTTCTCCCCTATAGCATACTGAACCCGTCCCCCCACCCCCAGAAAGAAAATAAAGCAAACTCACTGCCATTGAGTTGATGCCTTATAAGACATGGGAGAACTGTTCCATAGATTTCTAATGCGGTAAATCTTTACAGAGGCAGACTGCCTTCCTTATCTTTTCCCCATGGAGCTGCTGGTGCATCTGAACCACCTATGGTTCAGTGTTTTACCTACTGTGTCAACAGGCCTCCTTGAGATTGAAAACAGGGACCAACTTAAAGTTAATAGGAGGGAAGAAATAGGGCATAAATGCAGCAGCTGCAACAATTTTTAAGCTAACTTTCAGATATGCAGTTTTTACACCATTATGGTTACTGACATCATAATGACAAAACATGGCAGCAAGCAATGAGAAGGCTGTAAAGACAGGGCAAGCAAGAAAGTGCTCAAGGGGAAGGCCTTTAGGTACACGAACTTCAACCAGCATCTTCCAGGCCCAGGGCCCTTCAGCTTGCCCCAGAGGTCAGAATAGAGCTAGAATAGAACTAGATACCATAGCTTCCACTGGCAGCTTGGACCTCCAGTTACCACTCACTGCTCTGGGGCATTTCCCACCTGGTCCAGAGAAGACCCATAGCCTGGAATCCGACCTCCAGGGGCTCCCTGAAGCTGCCAGGGGCTCCCACCAGATGAAGTGAAGCCAGCACCTACAGGCAGCATCAGCAGAACTCTCCTGGTCCTTAGTCAGAGGCAAAGCATGAAGCCAGGGAAAGGGCTGCTGTTTTTGTACTGGGGCCCTGGCTCTGCTCTCAGACACACTCGTGCTCACGGAATTGGAGTGTGTGTGTGGGGGGGGGGGTGGGGGGAGAGAGGGCTAAGGGGGGTGCAAATGCAGGCTTGAGTAGTATTCAGAACTCATTCCCCTCCCCACCCCATCCCCCACCCCGCCGCCCCATACTTCCAAATACTGTAAGAGATTTCAACATTTACTTTGGCAATTTACTTTAGTTTAAGCCAGTCTGTGCTTGAAGTTCTCCTTTGCTTTTATAAATGCTAGATATAATAGAAGAGAATGCTACACTCATTCTCTTTTTTGAACAAAAGGATTTAATTCTCAAAACAATCCACTTTTAACAACTGCTATCTGTCACGTCTGGGCCACTGTCACTATCAAATACTGATAGGAAACACAATTACTTTCAACCCACACTTATCTTAAAATGTCCCTGGATGTGCAAAGCATTGTTCTTGTTAAATGCCATCAAGTCAGCTCCGAGTCATAGCAATCCTGTATAGGATTTCCAAGGAGCGACTGGTAAGTTTGAACCACAGACCTTGTCATTCAAGTCAACCTTGAGATCTAGTGCTTATCCTATGGTGGGTGCCACATCATTGTTGTTAAGTGCCACACCATACTCTCTGTTAACTGAAAGGTTGGTGGTTTGATTCTACCTAGAGGCACCTTGGAAGAAAGGCCTAACAATTTACTTCTGAAAATTAATCCATTGAAAACCCAATGGAGTACAGGTATACTGTGATACACATGTGGTTGCCATTACTCCGAATTAAGTCAGTTGTTGTTGTTGTTGCTGTTGTTAAGTGCCATCGAGTCGGTTCCAACCCATAGCAACCCTGTATAGGGTTTCTGAGGAGCGGCTGGTATGCTTGAACCACCAACCCTGGGGTTCAAACTGACTTTACAGTCTAGCGCTTTACCCACAGCACCACACTGAAGAGCTAAACAGGAAACCATTGATGAGGCAAAACGTTTACTATTAATGATAGATGTTATAGTTAGTTGACCTCCAATAGGCTCTGACTCATGATGGCTTTATGTATAACAAAGGAAGCATTAAACTTGGTAACCAGGTCCTAACCATCCCCAAGATCTTTGATTTCTTTGAGCCTTTTGCTGCAACTATTGAGTCAGCCTATGCCCTGAGAGTCTCCCTCCTTTTTGCTGACTCTCTGCTTTACCAAACATGATGTCATTTCTAGCCATTGGTCTTTCAGTTTTACTTTGTGTATGCATTTATTTTCCTAGATTAACTGTG